CTACGTTGCAAGCTTAAAAGCAGAGAAGGCCAGAACCACACCTCCTCCCTACCTCCACCAGCAGCAGAGCTCCCTGTGCCACTGATATTAAAAGACAATATTCACCCATATAATCACTGTTTACTGCTCAAGCTGATATTTGCTGCTTCTTGGAAAATGGAGGGGAGGAGGAAGAAAAGAGAAAAGGATAGTGTGCTGGCTATACCGGTGACAGATCTCCAAACAGGGCAGAATTATCACCAATTACAGCTTTATCATTATGTACTTTCCTGAGCTTCCCATACTGTAACAATACATAAAACCAGCAGTCAAACAGCAACACATAAAGACCTGCTGCAAAGACAGCTATGAAAAATGGTTTCAAAACTCTTAACTTTCTCTCATCACTTACAAAGTTCCATTACAATACACAGGTATAATATGATTAAAACACATTTACAATGTAGTAATCTCTATTGTAAAAGACGCTATCTAACGAAAGTGTGTATATAAATACATATAAATAAATACTTCACAGAACCATCAGTTTCCATAAGTAGACAGTTTCCTGAAAGTAGACAATACTGTGTACAGCAGATTTCACTGTGACAATGAAATCTTAGCAAAATATTGTGTGACCTTTCTGCACTGAAATTTTCAGTCCAAATTGTGCATTAATAGAGTGCTTGCTGCAGGACTAGAGAATGATTTATATAAAGACTAGTGTTAATTACTGACTGCGATCAGGAAGATAAATGGGAGAATGAAAGGCTCTCAGTAGCATCCTCCTCAACTCTTGCTTAATTTTCCAACGTACTGCCACTGTTCTCCACAGGACCACAAACTAGCCATGAGACCATCAATATGTCACATTCTTCCCCAATTGCTCTCCCTTCTGCTTCCCCTTATCAAAGGGTTAACAGCTCTGTCTGAGGTACTTGATAGCAAATCAGCATCAGTAACAAAAAATTAAACTTCTAACATACAATGGTACAGCTAATCCCAGCCTATGATCCATATTACTCTTGCTACAACAAAAGCAAGAATATGTTATGCTTCTGGCAGGAGAAAAAGTTCTCCGCTTCAGGAGCATTAGGAGGAATCAGCATTTGTAAGCCTTCTGCTGCTGGATTTGCTCTGGCAAAATAAAAATGGAAAGGGAATCCAGAGGAAGGGACCAGTCAACAAGGAAACAGACAAGATGGCACAGACAGGAAAGAGAAAGAATAATTAAAAACCAAAAGAAACTGTTTGCGAGGCAGGACAGAACTTGTAGATAATTAGAAGTTTAGAAGCCTTGGACCTGAAGAGACTGTTTCCATCCTAGAGCTCACAGTCAGTAAATGGCTTTCAGCAGCTTTGATTTAGTGAACCACATCTTCCACAAAATGCATCCCTTGTAAATATATTTTGCAGAGATACTGTAAAATTTCTCTAGAACATTGTTATAGATTAATGGAGTATGAAGTACCCTTAATGGGAAATTAAGCTATAACAACGGACATCAAAATCTTTACACCGCTACTGTAAAAATACTGATTAAAAGATATAGCCGGCAAAGTTAACCTTTACTTTTATAAAAGGTCTGTGCTGTTCATATCTGGCAGGCACTTGAATCTGTCTCCACTTGCCTGTCTTGCCCACTTCTCTACAGCTCTTTCTGGATTAGCTTCTCACCGAAAGTTTAGGGGTCCTCTCACATCTTGCACCAAAAACTTGTATGAATGGCCCAAAGAAAGAAGGTGCCTCTTAGCACCAAGCATCCATACCTTCCACTCTACGGATCCTCATCAACTTCTCTCTCCTTGAATCTCAAAGTCTTTCGTAGCATCAAGCCCAAAAAAAGCCATGGGATTATATACTTCACGTAATATATATCAGAGATAAAAGGAGAAATGTTTAAGATTTACTCCCAAGTATTGATACTGGCTGAATCTTTCTTGTTTAGCTCACCTCTTTATTTGTAGAATGAGCTTCAAGGGGAACTCAGCCTTCAGTACAGCGTTACGTGTAACATTCACTACCCCTTCTGAAAGAAGGGGTTAAACGAACACAAATACCATTATAAAATTTGCAGCTGGATTTCTTCAGCCATGCTGTCACTTACAAAAAGAGCACAGAACAGTGATACTAAGGGTTCCAGATAGTATTCTCTGTCTCAACTAATCCACTCACTGCTTTCCACCTCAGTTCAGTGAGTGCCAAACCGCAACAAACACTGCAATATATGGAATCACCTCAGTGGTCTGGGTGATCAGGCAGAAAACTAATCAAACCTGCATGGAACTGACTGAATCCCACGTGCTATACCACCCACAATGCACCGGGTGATGTGACTGCAAGAGCAAATGACACAACCATATTCCGAGTGGTTCAGGAACACAATGTTTTTTGTCTTACATGTGGAAAACTACATCCACTACAACCTTGCTTTCCACACTGCATATGTCCCTGTTCCCTCAGTCCCTTCTCTTCATGGAACTCTTCTGCAAGCTCGTCTTCCTTTCTTTTATCCTTGAATGGCAATATCCAGAGACTCCTTAACTACTCCTCTTAGCTCATGCTACGGTCTATTTTCTTATGGAAACATCTCATATATGCTCTATGCGCAGTATCTCTCAAACATAACCAGCTGACATTTCCAAGAAGATCATAATAAGTTACCAAATATATCAAAAGGAAAATAGAATAGTGCTAGCATTTGACTCCTCTGCTAGCTGAAATCCCTATCACCCCACTGGTGCAGTCTGCAGAGCAGTTTGGTATGTGTGAACTATACAAATTCCAGAAGAAACTAAACCAGGAACTCCACTACATGAACCTATCAGAGGCACTCCAACTACTACTAGTAACATAAGGTTCAAAATAGTTCCTTTGAACAGCCTCAAACCGTGTGCTTGGTGAGCAAATTCAGTGCAGCAGACCACACCAAATCTAGTCCCAAGTAAAACAAACCCCCAGCTTAAATAGAGCGTACATACAGGGCTGTATCCACTGTCACCATTTAGTCATTCACTTCTGTTACACCAAACTACTTGCAGACATATATATAGCCTTAGTTTTCTCCAGGTTGTTCAGTGACTGTTTACTTTGCAGAAAAGCAGAAGTAGTGGCATTTAGGCTTTTACTGAAATTTTTTGCTTCATTTAGAGGCATTCAGTGGAACAAAGTGCCAGCTTACACCTTCTTCCCCCCTAGAAAGCTTCTCCACTCAAACCTGAAGTCTAGATGCAACTTCAGTCCAGATACACAAGTAAAACTGTCCACCCTCCTGTAGTTTACAGCTACACATTAACAGTTGGAAGAACAGTATGACTGAGTATCCACTTTAGCAAAGCAACATCTGACCACATACGGAACTACCACACGTGACATAAAACACAAGTCTTCAGCTGCCATTCATTTCTCTGTGATTAACCATAACGAACATGAGGAGGAAAAAAAGGATAGGAAGAACAGTTCAGTGCAATGTAAACTGTTTCTAAACCGCTGAAAGTGGACAAGCACTATGAGATAGCCAGACAGATGTAATGAAGGTCACTGTAAACCTGTCACCAAGAGACCAGTGGTACACCAGTGCTACATTTATGTCTGCAAACAGGAAAGGAGCAAACATAGTAATCCTCATATAGAAAATGCACACTTTTTCTCTACAGTAGCTGTCTGATGCTACAGTTTGACACTTATGAACAACTCCTTCACCTCCATGAAACCACACTGAACCTAGCACAGATCTGCATATTTGAAAAGAATTACTAAAGAAAAAAGAATTGAGAAGGCATATGACATATGATGCCTGTCTTAATGAAAATCTGTGTCATCATAAAATTCTGGAAATCACACTAAGTGGAAAGCTCATGCTGCATAACAGTGCATTAACAGATTATTTTCTGACAAATCACTCAGCATTTCTCACATCCACTCACATCATTAAGATATTAGCTGAAAAAAAAAAAGTGTGGAAAACAATAAAAACTGCATTTTTTTCCATGGCAGAAACATACAAAAAGGAAAAACTCAAAAAAAGGTGTAGCTGATTTATGTATAGGAGTGACTTGCTTATCAAGTTCTAAATATTAATGCTCCAAAGAGAGAGTTAACATACCTCTAACTTAAAAAGATATTGTTTGACTTCAAGGACAATGTACTAAACTGCTTCTAGATAACTCTTTACTGGTGTCTTAATACAAGCTCAAATTAGTCCCTAACAGTCACTGTGGACTAGTTTGCCTATATATGTTCATAGCTGAAAAAAAAAAACAAACTATAAAGAAAAAACTCATATTGTTGCACTGAAAACAGGATTTGCTCTTTTATAGAGGCCAGCAATATTAACATACATTATATCCTCTCCAGTGACCCAGAATGCTTTACAAACTGCCTTTCAGAACCACTGATTCCTTATAAAGCACAGAGTGAAATGCAGCAGCTTCTTCTGAAGATAATACAGAAACATATCTAGGCTAGAGCAAATAAGGAGTGCATAAATGCACTTCAACAGCAAACTTCCACCTCTGGTGAAAGGTGTTAATTCAGAAACAACACTCATTTAACTATTGTTACTGTTATATTTTTGGGATGAAAATTGTTTTAGTCTTGGCCAAAAGATCACATTTCTACTAACTGGAAACCCAAAGAGTGCTCTAGAACATAAAACTGGCATAAGTACAAAGTGGCAGCTAACAAAAGCATTGCCATTACTATGAAGAGTATTGTCTGGCAGTGCTCTTCAGTAGTCTTTGACAGCAGCAGCACATTGACAACCCCACCCAAGTTTCATATAAAAATGCATCAGGAGCCAACAAACTAGGCTGGACATCCCATGAACATGCTGCACCATCAGCAAAACTTTGAATGACAAAAACCACTCACCTGGGCGCTGCAAATGTCAGAATACCACACCACCACAGGTGACCACCAGCATGTAAACAGTAACTTTTTTAACCCATTCCCTCTTACTCACGTCCTAAAATTACAGAGAAACTTGCAAGCCACCCTCTTAATCACTCCCAGTACTTTACCTAAATAGATCAAGCCAAATCCTCCCTGGCCAATCTGACTGCCCAGCCTCCAGACTTTTCCTTCGGTGTCTTTCAGGACCATGTCTCTTGGGAGCGGAACTGGCAACTTGCCACTGCCGCGACCCTTAGGTGGCATCGTACCTTGAGGGAGGAGAGGGAAAAGGAAAGAAAAAGTTGACTTTTTGCAAGAAGAAACAATATCCCTCGATGTGCTTTGCCCAACAGGCCCCGAGCAGGGCCTCCCCCCGGAGATGGCCGGGCTGCTCTCCCCCGCCCCGGGGCCTTTCCCTGGAGCGGCAGCCCGGGGCGGCTCACCCGTAGCGGCCTACCCTCTGAGGCCCGACCGCCTCCCCCACCTCCC